CTATAACAGTTCCAGGTCCCTGCTCCTCCGGGACGGAATAATTGAGGTTTTTTAACGTGAGGGCTTTCACCCACAGCAAAAGGAAAACGGGTGCAGAGAGACGCATCCCTTCCAAGTGGATATGCAGCAGTGGTAGACTAAAGAAAAAAGAAAAAAAACTGGTTGACTTTCAACCTGTTGATTAGGAGGGGAAAAAAAAGAAAAAAGAAAAAAAAAACCTAGTGCTCTAACCCGCACCGGGCACGGGTTTCACGCTGATCTCACAGTAATTAGGTATTAAACCGATCTCTGAACCGTGCTCTCCCTTTTTAATTTGGATCTTGACCTTTTTTGGGATGCGGTGTAGCTGGGATGAACTCTTTCTGTAAACAAAGATGACCGCTCGACGACACCTGATGCATGAATTAAATATCAAATTCGGCACCACTACAAGAGAGATGCTTTGTTTCTCTTTGTTTTTTTTTTCCCCCCCAAACGTAATGTGTGTGTGTGCGTGAGTGCGTGTGCGTGTGTGAGTGTATGTGTGTGTAGGGGGACTTGATGAATAATCGATTACTATAAAGTATTCATATTCCCAACCGCATCCAAGGTTAAAGCGTTTAAATCTCGTGGTTGAAGGTTAGAGCGCGGCTCGCAAAAGCGCATTGCCCTCATGCGACATCTACACCTAGGCTACTGCGAAACACTGACATGGCCATTCAAAATGCAGCATTTGCCATTCACATCGCATGTTACTTTCCCCCTTTCTCCTGTGCGGCACACTGTTGCACATAGGCGTTCGGTCCGCGTCGCCCATACACAGTCTGCTCACAAAGTGGAATAAAAAATAAAACAAGCAGGATGCAGAGCTGAGAAATACTCCAGTTCCAACCTTTTGTGCTCAAGAGCGTCTGCGACTTTTGCCCGATGATTGTCCTATAATCAGTCCAGTAATCCCATAATCCAGTCCAATTGGACCCGGTGCTCTTCCATCCTTCATTCCAGACAATTCCCTTCAGCACTGACCCGTAAAACGAGCGGGAGGAAAAAATGAGCCACACAGAGGTGCTGGAAGATTTCAGATAATCAAAATTAATCGCTTCTCCTGCGCTCACAGGTTTCTCTCCTCTCCGCGTCAACTGTTGAAACCCGCTCCCCTCACTGTGTTGAGCCGATCTGACCGGAAGCCTCTCGAAGCCCTCGCAACGCACTCCCGTGTGTTTCTGGGCGCATTTAACATACTTTCTGATCGTCTTCCAGCGAATGAGTGAGCAGTGACAGATCTTTGCCTTGAGGGGGGTTTCTCCGATAGGGTCTGGCAAGATCGCATGAAGAAGGGCTGTTCTAGTGCTACGTGATTCATTTACTGATGTGCGCGCAGCGAACAGCAGCATCACAGGGAGGAAACGTGCTGGAGGATGTTGCTCCTAATACATGTCGATGTGAACCAGAGGGGATTGGAGATAGGTTTCTTGAAATGTGCCGTAGCAGGCAGGAGCAGAAAGAACTTGACAAGTGGGGACAGAGACGGCCCGTTGCTATATGTGGCCCCAGGGCAGAAATTTTGTTCGGTGGGGGGGAGTCACTTGTTGTCACAGGTCACCACAGCATCACTATCATCTTCTTTTATGTGGTCCCTTCTTCATCCTTTCCAAAGTATGCAGAAGTCAATTCATATCATTTATTGAATTTATATAGAGCAGCATACCATACAGTAGGATATACTTTAAACTTTTCTTACTTTCTCATGTTAAGAACCATAAACTAAAATATATGTTTCATAAACAAAAATAAAGTAGTTCATCAGTGGAATGAAAATGATTCATGGCTTTCAATTTTTTTTATTTTATTTTATTTTTTTTACAACTGAATCTCTGAAAAGTGCGGTGTGCACGTATTCAGAACCCCAAGACAGTACTTTGTGGAAACAATTACAGCTACAAGCTGATACACTGGGGCATGTGTTTACATGCCCCCCTCCCCCCACAAAAAAAAAAAATCAATCAATCAATCAATAAATCATTTGAATTTTTCTCTCAGAGCACAACCTGACTTCCTCCATTATTATTATTATTATTATTATTATTTTAATCACATCTAGAAGAAGCACTTTGACGAAGCTTGGCAATATAACTTAGGCTTAGTCAAATTGGATAAAGAGCATGTGCAGACATTAGGTTTTAAGATTTTTAGTTGGACTTTATTTGTTTGACTCATGAATATGCTTTTAGCTAAATTATTCCATTGTAGTTCTCGGTGTAAGCTTAGAGTTATTTTCCAGAGAGAATGTGAAGCTCTGTTCCAGTCTCAAGTATTTTGGTGCTTCTAACATTTTTTTTTTTTTTTTTCTGTACTGTCCTGCTTTTAGCACAATTCATCTGCTTATTATCTCTGAGCAGCTTTCCTATCCCTGCTCCCCACAGGATGATGGTGGTTTTGTTCAGACTGATGTGCACTGATAGTTAGTCCCTCACAAATAGTTTTTTTCATGGATGTATTTTTGCTATTTTAGCATAAACGCTATTTGTGCAGCACACAGCTAATACTTATACTGTCAGCAGATTGCCTCACCTTAACCGCAGGTTTCTGAGTTACCGTTGGCCTTTTGAGTGCTCTCCTGATCAGTGCTTTCCTGTCAATTTAGGAAAACAGCTGGTTCATGTTAGGTTTGCACTTTTTCCATACCTTTCTCATTTTCACAGCACTTGCAATAAAGACTGTTAGGAGTTGACAGCAAAAAAATGGTTAAATCATTTCTTTCTCTGACTTAATCATTTGTTGTGTAACTACTATACAGTACTTGAATACAAACTGTTGAATTGAGAAGCAGAACCCAAGTATATTTTGTTGGGCTCACAATAAATAATTGTAAACAGTAAACTAGAATATATGTCCCTAGAGGAATTTACAAATAGATGCAATATGCACTAAATATGTCAAAGGAACAATATGAGTTTATTAAAATAAGAGCCTTAAATCAAGATTGTTGACATTGATATGAAACTGTTAGGATTTCCCACTGTGTCTCTATCTTATTTGCCACTTCTTTAAAATGTCCAATATGTAAAAGGATACATTTCATATTTGGATCACACTATGGTAAACATGGCTTCAAATGTGCTCAAATCCAGTGCTTGTGAAACAATGCTACAGCTTAATTTATTCATACTTTGGGTTGACTCTGAGTGTAATTTATTTATTTGTTTATCTTTTTTAGGGGATGAGGTGTGACATATGGCCAACATGGTGTTAGAAATGTAAAATTAAAGCTTTCAAAATGTTTGGAGAGTAACAGAGAGTGCTGTCTTCTCAGTGTCATTGAAGCTCCTTAGGTATTCATAACTTAAGATCCTTATTAATTATTAAAAACAACAACAGGCTTACACCTGTCTCTTCTGTTTGTTCCTCATTTTCATCATTGCTTTTGAGAAAATTTAATCAGAAGATGAAAAGAGAAAGAGAAGGAGACAGACTGTGGATGTTTTCAGGATAATCTCTGTAAAGGACATAAGACAACTGCTTATTCCTCTGAAAGAAACAAGGCTTATTTCACAGCTCAAATATCACAGCTGTTGGTATAACCTGCCTTATGCGGCTATCACATTGCTTATCCACATCAATCTCATATCTCGCACTGAAAAAAAAAAGAAAAAAAAGATGGACTGACATTTAGTTCACTCAGCATTTCAACAATATGACATTTGCATTTTTATTCTCACTTGACCAAATCTCGGTGACGCCGGCGTGTGCGTGGGGGCGGGCGGGGGCTCCATGGCGTCGCATTCAGGTACCATATGAGAGCAATTCTGGGAGGACGCTGTGTCAACATAGGGGCGAGATTACTGTAGCCCACTTCCTCATTTAATTTCATGTTGCTTGGGATCTAAATCAACCTTGAGTTGCTCCTCAGTTCATTTTCGATGTAGGAAACATGGCTGCTTTCCTCCTGTGGGGAGCATCAACTTTGGCTGGCCCCGGTGCAGCTTGCATAAATTGGCCATTTCTGCAGGTATGAGATAAGGACAACAAAGGGAAACTAATTATCATTCAGTCTATGTTAAAACCTCAGGAAAGAGCCGCTATTGACAATTGTGTCTGCATTGTCACAGTCATACTATTTAATATGATCTGAACTCTAAATGAGAGGGTGGTTTATATCCATAATAAATAGGCCACATCCTGATGTGAGGCTTTGGATGCCTTGTTCATCTAAAATCCCGCTGACTTTGTCTTGGGTAACTTTCTCTAATGAGACCACAGTACTCGACCTGGTATGAAATGCAATTTATGTTGCTTTTTCCTCCTCCTTTTTCAACTGCAAGAACAACAGTGTGCATCAGGTGTTCCGTGGCAAATTGATTTTTACGTGAAAGCGCATTATTCCAAAGGCATAAAAAAAAAAAAAAAAAAAAAAACATACCTGTTGTAATTCCGGGTGGAAATAACAAACGGTGGCTATGCTCTGTTTAAGCACACTTGTAATATTTTGCCATCTCTCTCATGTGATTCACTTACCACTCGGCGCAAGCATGATTAAAGGTGAGATTAAATTGTTTATCATTCCCTTTTTTTTATTTATTTTTTTCCTGCTCCCGTCTCTAGTTGCGCCACACTTTGAGCAGCACACAGGAATACTGATGGTGGGGGAGCAGGAATAATGATTAGGACAACCCACTGAATCTTGCTGCAGAGTAAATGAGCACGAGAAACCAGTTTTAATGGAGCATTTGGCAAAACAATTAGTTACTCCCTAAAATAAAATAGAATTGCTGTATATTTTTGCAAAGCACTGCAACACCATACTGCTACATTCTGCCTAAATCACTAAAATGTAAATAAATTTATCCTTTTTGGAGGAAAAAACAACAACTTTATTATATATGTGTAAAATCTTAAAGTTGTATATACAGAGTGTCTTACAAAAATATTTAAAGCTGTTTATATGTCCACATTTTGTCCCTTTAAGACAACAAACCATCATTTATGTCTTTCATAACATTTTAAAAACTAGAGCCACCATAATTAGTAAAATTGTCTTAAAATGAGGGTTTCCAAATTATTTTTCAAAATATATAAACCGAGAAGCACGTTTTTATTGAGTAATCTTATTTAGACAAACCCCGTACAAAAGTCAGTGCAACCAGTTACCTTTAGAAATCATAGAGTGCACCTGAGTTTTGTAAATGCAACTGTTTTGTGAATTTGTAGGTGGTTTGTAACTCTGGAGGAACTACAGAGAGCCACAGCTCAGGTGTAACAATCTAAACTCATGAATTAAATATTTATTTTGAATTTTAAAGCAACTAATTTTTACAACCAGAAGAAACAAGCATCATGCTGTTGTTAAATTAGTAAAAAACAACCATCTGTTATGTCCCAGAACTGAGATAACACAATATATAAAAGCAGAGAAGAATTAGAAGTGATCCATTTCCAGTTTAGAAAGGAGTAAGCGGAAGCAAATGATTAATTGATCTAACTTGTACTACAACCCATATATCAGCCTTGTTTTTCTTGTTGACAGGACAGTTATTGTTTATTCATTTCAGAAATATGATCTATGAAAAAATGGGAAGAAGAAAGCAATTGTTGAAAGAAAGCCAAAACAGTTCTGTTTGTCACAAGCCATTCAGGGAACACTGGAATATGTAAAATAAGGTGATCTGGTCAGATGAGGGCTGCACAGTGGCGCAGTTGGTAGAGCTGTTGCCGTGCAGCAAGAAGGTTCTGGGTTCGATTCCCGGCCCTGGTCTTTCTGCATGGAGTTTGCATGTTCTCCCTGTGCATGCGTGGGTTTTCTCCGGGTACTCCAGTTTCCTCCCACAGTCCAAAAAACATGACTGTTAGGTTAATTGGTCTGTCTAAATTGCCCCTAGGTGTGTGTCTGTGTTGCCCTGCGACAGACTGGCGACCTGTCCAGGATGTACCCCGCCTCTCACCCGGAACGTTAGCTGGAGATAGGCACCAGCACCCCTCCCGACCCCACTGAGGGACAAGGGTGTTCAGAAAATGGATGGATGGTCAGATGAGACCAAAATTAGTTTTTTGCTCTACGTGAAAAATACTTTGCATTTCAGAAAATTAACACAACTCACCATTCACATTGCAAAACATGGTGGTGGCAGCATTATACTATGGCTATCTTGCTACCTTCAGCAAAGACACGGAATTGGTCAGAGTTGATAAGAAAGTGGATTGTGCTAACTGCAGAGAAATTCTGGGAAAATACGTGTAAAAGGCTTCCCAAAACGTGACACTGCAGTGGGCAGAGGTTTACTTTCCGACAGAGTGAGCAGAGGATTGTCCGAACTCTGAAGTTAACTAGTTTTCAAAGAAAAACGGTCAGAAGCTTCAGTCTCTGGATGTGATAACTATTAGAAACAGACCCCAGACTTGAATCTGTAGCATCAACTGCAATATGGGTGACGGTGGGAGTGGAAAGGGAGAATGGAGTGGATAAAAATACACCCAACATTTGTCGCAGAGTATTTATTGACTAAATGTAAACTTAAATGCTATTTAGGTTGACTGGATTTTATTGCATAGTGTTAAAGTTAACATGAATGAAAATGTATGGACTCCACATTTTTCAGGTAACTTATGATTTTTTTTTTCTTTGTAAAAACCATTTGCCAGATTTCTCACACTTATTGCGTTTTCCACTTATTTTATCTTGCATATCGGTGATAGTTTAATGATTTCTCTTGTAAGATTCCCATAAAACACAGAGGCTTGTGATTGTAATGCTGCAGCAAATACAAGTGCTGTATATTATTGCAAAGCACTGCAACACCATATTGCTACATTCTGTCTAAATCACTAAAGTAAGTTCTATATTGTAATAATATAGATTTTCGTGATGCAATAGTAATCCGTATTTCTCTATAATCCCTCTGTCATGACTCCTCAGAAAGGTATGAGTCTTAAAGGGACAGCTGATTTAATTCATCCCCCCAAAGCCCATTTTTTTCTATACTTGCAAGAAGCCATGCAGAAAATTTTAATTTAATGTGTCAAGGTTTTTGAGAAGTGAACCTGTGAAACTTCTTCCCCTCATCAGCTGTGACAATGCATCACAGTTACAGAAACACGAATTTAGGAATACTTTCAAAGTGACTTAGAATATAGTTTGTTATGGTTTGTAACATAATGCTTTGAAAGCTTCCTTTGTGTCAGAGTGGCCACTGTGATCTGAACTACCCCAGGATGAGGCTAGAAAATATTTGAAAAAGGCTGTTGAAAAGATCATATTTCTGTTTGATGTCTGTGGTGAACACTTTGTTCTCTTCTCTTCCCTGGCAACAAATCCACAGAAAAGAACAAAATGAAGAATGTGCAGATCCTACTAACAAGTGCCGTTGCCTGAAATGTAGCAGCCTATTGTTTATCTCGGTAAGTGAACTGTTTCATTTGTTCACCACCTCAGAGCAGCACATATTGCTGTGGTGGATGGCGGTCATTTAATTCAAATGGCTGACTCCAGTGAGGTTTGAATCCTGAGTCCAATCTGTGGTAGGAGTGACGCAGAAAAACACACTTTCTTAAAAGTTCAGAGACTTTGTTGGTCTCGTTTAGTGTAGTTCTGGTATTCGTTTATGCCAAATGAATGCAACTGGTCTGGAAAAAGTTTTTAGCGTTTCCTTTCTTCAGTCCATCCTTCTCAGTCACCACCCTTCCTATCGCACGTCCTTCTTTCCTTCCTCACTATCTTTCATGTATTCTTTCCTTCATGTGATCTAACTTTTCTCTTTGCGTCCTTTCTTTCTCATTTTGTTGTTATTCTATATCTTCATAGAATGTAAATATCACTACATGTCAATCTGTTGTTTTTGCTGGTTCTTTATGTAAACTCTGGGCACAGTATGTGCCATATATTAAAATTAAAATTTAGATTTTTTTTGTTTTTTACTTGGCAAAAAAGACCGGTAACTCTATTATTGGTACTATTTAAAAGAATGAAACTTTACATGAAAATGCAAAGGAGTTTAGGCAAACTCAGCAAATATTTATATATATGCTCATGTTTAACATTCATGTACCAATACCCTCTTAAAGGATTTTCCTCTTGTAACAGAACATGTAATTCAGGAAGCTCCAGATTTCTGTCAGGCTATCTTTGCTCTTCCATATTAATCTTCTATAATGCAGTTTCAAAGGAGACAGGGTTCTGACACTGTTGCGCTGGGTGGCATGTTGCTTCATTAAGATGAACATGGGAGCTGTTGTTTATTTTTAGTCGATCCCACACACAACACCCTGCTGTTATAATTCGCAAGCATACCAAATGTGCATTAATCTGTAGCTGAAAATAGAGCCCAAGAAATGCCCTATTTACCAACAAGTCCTCCAACCTAGGCATCAAATGGGTTGTTTGTAATGGTTTCCTGATCACACTAATGAAAGAATATCAGTTGTTTAACACATGAAGCTAATAAACATGGTGGCATTTGGTTATTTAAGAACTGTGCAATGATTGCAGGGTTTTTTTTAGGAGTTACAGTGTTTTTTATACATTTAACAAAACATTTAAAAGTAATTAAGATCGACTAGTTTTCAAATATAGTTTATCTTTTGTTACACATCTGATACATTTACTTGACACAGAAGGCTTCTTTGCAAAGCATAAGCATTATTGAGGGAAGTAGAGGTCTCAGAAATGCTTGCTTCAAAATGCATATGTTTGACTTCACAAGGTTGAAGGAATAACTTATTATTTATATGTTGTGGTTGTGTTAGGAGTTTATGAACAATAAATATCTTAATCAAAACTTTGTTTTGGTTTTTAAACAACAATTAGCATTTAAGCTATTGGCTGGATCAGAGCAAAACAAAGAGCGTAATAGACTTCTGCAACGGTAAACAACTCCTGTCTCTATATGTTACATGGGTTTATGGGAACGTTCTTAAATGACTATTTTATTTACATTACAACGTATTTTACATGAAATAATATTATAATTTGGTCCCAACATTTAACATCATTTTTTTTTCCCCTTGAATTAGCATGACCTGATGTAAACAACTGGTAAAAACAAAAAATGAAGCTAAAGTGAGTAAACTGCATTTCATCACCTCTAACTAACTGTACAGTTTGTCTAAATGCAGAACATGAAAACTTATTTTAAAAATATGTTTTTAATTCATTTTAAAACCCAAACACTTCCTGACTACTGTTGTCCTCTTTAAATGCTACGGAGTCTGTCACTTGCAAAATCAACATAAATATTGATATTTTTGATCATTTCTAAAATTATGTAAATAATCCAAATTAGACTGAAACAGGCAGATCTTAACCTTTCACACTACTGTCCATTAGCCGTCCATTTCTGTGGGCTGACAATTATTATGTCGCTCTGTCAAATGAACCTAAATAGCAGAGCTGCTTCGCTGCCTGTGTGTGCAACAAAAGCAACCTAACACAGCTCACAAGCCTTGTTATCATGATACATGTCGAATAAATTGTTTTTGTTACAGACCAGATGTGGATTTGCATATAAATGCAAATCCTCAAGGGTCAGTGTTCCAGCTCTCCAATATTTCAGTTCTCCGGATTCGAGCATCACTCTCCAGAGAGTCGGGGTTAAAGGGCAGATGTTTTTGCATCGCATTTTTTTTTTTTTTTTTTTTAATAAATGCTTAGGAGGTTTAAAAGTTCAGACAAACCTCTGCAAAATTATCAAAATTTGCACTTCTGTTTGGAAGTTTATTTGATTTCTCATTGAAGTCAGCTCAGGTTTACTTGGTGGTCGGTTATGTGTGTTTAGAAAATTCACAGACTAATCTACATGATGGGAGTAGAGAGCTAAAAAAAGTGTTTGTGCGTGCAGAAAGGTCCTTTCTAAAGGATTTATGCAAATGTGCACCTCACGAATTACCTGCTCATCAATCAGTCTGGAAAACAAGCAGTGCATGGATTTCAGCACAGAAGCAATGTGAAACTAATGAACATTTCTGAACAGTTCACATCAAACATTTAAGGCTGAGTCATGAATATCATTATGAGAACGAAGAAAACAACTACATGACCATAAGTGGGTTGACTGACAGCTCACGAGTTTCTGCAGCTGCAATAACTAAGCTGAAGTCTGAACATTTAATTTTGTTAACAGGTCTGTGTCTTATAGACATTTCAGAAACGTTCCTGCCGACTGCAGAAAGAGCCAAAATGTCAGTCAGTTGGACATATTGAATGGGTATTATTAGTCTGAACCTGGGTAGGCTTTTTTTTTTTTTTTCACTTCATGCTGCTTAGATCTTATCAAGCTGCACATTACTTTAACAGTCTATTATAATAAACTAAATCATTTCTTTCACTTTCTAAAAGACATAAAAAATAATAAAAAATTAAAGCCCAGACAGTAATAGAGTGTATACTTTAGGAGTAACTAAACACTCATACATTATCAGCCAATCTATACTGTTTACCATTTAATCAAAAACATTTTGTTAAGGAATCTGGTACTGTATAACAAATTAGCCCTTTAATTATAAAAAGCCCAAGCTACAAAGTCTACAGTATTGCAGGCATAAGGAAGAATTACTCCCCTACTAAAGATGCATTGATTATTCATCCCAGTAACGACCTCATGTCTTAAGTTGTTAGAACTCAGCATTCTAAAGTCTACCATGTAACTTAAGAGACTCCAGGAACAATTCACTGCTTAAATTCTCAGAACAAGCTCACAACACATGCTTGTAGTCTTAGATGATCAAACAAAAAATTATTGATTTTTTTTTTTTTTTTCCATTTTATTGTGTATGTGGAGTTTTGAGTCAGGCTTCCAGCAAAGCTTGGCAGCTCCACTGAGAGGCTGGTTTCTACTGACAAGTTGTTGTAATGCCAAAACATGCTCAACGTTTTGGACTAAATACAAGGTCTACATTTAAGACTGCTGTGTGCACAATTGAAAAAAGGGGATAACCTAGGAGTTAATAGATCAATGTTTTTTTTTTTTCTGTACCTATATTTCTAATAGACCTCTTGGCATTAAATTCATACTAGATGTCGGTTACAACCCAAGTGGTGCAATATAGAAAAAAAAATCAAAACATAGTCCAAAAACTCAAAATATTGCCCATAAATAATGCTTAGAGTTGATACAGGGACTACAACAAAGAGGTGCAAAAAAGTCATAGAAAGCAAAAATGAAAGAACTGAAATCAGACTGTATTTAGAAAGGAGCCCTCCCCTCTATTTGTGCAAATTCATTTTTTAATTAATGGACAAAAATAGATTTCTAATAACCAAGTTATTACACAAGATGCAGGTTTCATGAAGTGCTCTCTCAAGAGCTGCACAATCATTTTTATTTTACTTATTTTTTCAAAACACATTGATGGCACTGGTTACAGACACAATTTTAAGCTTATCAATGTTGAACAGAGCGCTGTTGAGTCCATAAATCAGAAGGGCAAAGAACATAATTTACCATTAGCCAGCCACCAACAACTGCTCCTTGCAGGATTTCTGACGGAGGAGTCCTGAAAATAAACAGGAGAGTAGTCAAAGAGCCAAGGAAGACCTGAAATTAGAAATATATATATTTCTTTCTGCTCATGCTGAAAAAAAAAAAAAGTACGAGCAGAGACGTAAATCTGTCAAGGAAGAGAATTTGTGGTAATGTTGTGAGTAAATGTTGTCTACTCTGTATTTAAAAAAAAAAGATATATAAATATTCTATCGGTTAAATAACTTTAATTACTTTAATTAACAGATAGTTGATATTTGTTCATCATTTTGTATACTTACATTTTAATTTGATGAATTTTCACTTGTTTTAGACCTGAATGAAATATGGGTAGAATGAGTTAAAACCTCAAACTACACATTTACAGTTTAAGTAAACACCGGCAGTATGATACTGAATGTGCATTTTAATCTTATGACCAAAATAAATCAAACTGAACTGAAAAAGCATGTATTAGCTCGTTCAGTTTTCTGCAGAGCATTTCAATAAGCCAGCCAAGTGCAGGTACATGGCATTATGAGAAACGTGTTTTTATAGAAAAACACTGATGCGCTCACTGCTTATTTTTCACACAGTATATTTTGAAATGGGTTCTAACATACATTGCACCTCTGGGGAACATTGGTGAAATTAAAGACTTTGATCAAAACACTGACTGAACAACACGCACTGCCAGCACTACATAAAAACTAAATGAGATAAAGGTCATCACCAAGGAGCCAATGGGTAGCTAGAAAAAGATAAATGAGCACATCTGCATGTGATGCCTTGTCTGACATGATTTAATCACATCATAGAATCTGAACCACTATTTATAGCACCAGATTATTTTTAAAGGCAGTAGCAATTTCCAATGTTTATTGGCTCCAGCACCTTGCATAAACATATTTTAAAATTTACACATTATGTCGTTTCTGTTAGTCCCATTTACTGCATGTGGAACAACACAATCCAACCTGGGCTTTACAGTGTCAGAATGGTTAGTAGAGATGGTCTAGTGCAGTTGTTTTGAGTTCTGA